ACGGAAACTCGGGGACTGTGCCTACCTGAGAAGCCCCCAGAAGGGCGAAACCGGTCGGGGGCTCTCGAAGAGTTTTCTGCATCCTTGTGAGTAATCTCGCAAAGTTATCTGTGCAGCTTTTCAAAGCAACAAAGTAGTTTTTGTTCATTAAATAAACAATGTCTGAAGTTATAATTAGTTTCTATTGCGGAGGAATTTTTAGAATTTTGAGGAGTGCTGGTGCTTGTTTAAAAGAAACTATCCAGTTATTCGTTTGGGCAGCAAAAGTCTCTGTCAAAGAAGCGAATTAGATGTACATTTTCCAAGATTTTTCGCCGAACATCTGATAGTCTCAGTAGGTAATAGAACGAACGATCCCAGTTGATGCTTCTCATTAGAGGTTGAAACATCTGAGTCTAGACCTAGCATGACCTTAGGCGAGAAGCTTGTCGTGTTCTGTGTACTGCTGAAACTTGCTCGGTAACTTTACGGGGAATAATGTGCAGAAAATGAATGTCCAGACTTAGCGAGATACACTCATTCGTAAACAAATTTGGTTTTTGCAAGAGACTCACCTGAAACCCAGCTCAAACCTTCGTTTACGATGTTTTCAAACAATTGAATGTGCTACACCAGGCCCTGCATATTTCACCTGTTACGATATTCGAGATTTCACGATACATGCATGGACATTACTCATAAGGTTGTTGAAAATTCTTCGAAAGCCTACGACCGGTTTCACCCTTGTTGGGTAGGCGCAGTCTCAGAGTTTCAATCAACCCTATGTTCTAACTGAGACCTAATTGCACGAAATTAGCGGAATACACAAACAAATTCGGTTTTTCGGGAGACTTCTCCAGAACTCAACTGAACCTCTCGTTTATAACTATGCCCCGAGAAGGGCGAAACTGCATGTGGGCTGACTGAGAATTTTCAGCAACCTTATGAGTAATGTATCACGTTCTATTAATGTCCCAGAATGTTTTTTATAGATGAAGAGAGTTGAATAGCATTGAAACATAACGTTAGCTTTTGTATTACGTGTACCGGTTGGATACGTGGTGCGCCGATATCTCCAGCTGCTGCACCAGGTTGGGTCGATATCTGGACATTCCATCCACATCTGTTTCACCAGGGCGTAAAAGCGAGTACAAACTGTTTCTAATCATGTCTGCAAAGAAAGGCTGCTATTTAACTGTTGAAAGCGAAACAACTTTTTAATTGGGTCTCCGTCCAGTAAGTACTATTTAAAAACTTCTGAATTTCGCACTTTCATCAACAAGTGAACACGACAACCGTGGAAATTTCTTTCTTGTTTCAGATGACGGCCTGATAATCCTGACGTTTGTCGTGGTCGGACTGTTCCTGAGCATGTTGATCTTCATACTATGTGGATGTCGTCGAACAATATGGTATCGGTATCGGAACCGACGAGAAGCCGAACATGTTACCTTGGTCAAAATGGCAGCCAATTATGACATTTGATTACCAATAACGTAATATCTTGCCGAAATAAAACAGCTGCGGCTAGGCACCCAAAGAATCTTGTGAACTGTGATATTTTGCACTCATCTGCTTTCACTACATGCGTTTGTCTTTCTAACTGCACATAAACCATGGATGATAGATGAGTTGTCTTCTCTGGAGATGTGAGAGTCTAAGAGAAAAGTTGGGTAGGGGGTCACACGAAAAATGCAGTAGTGCCCGGTTGGAGGTATTGATTTTTGGTCAGGAGATTACGAATCTTTCTGCGCACATGATCGTTCCGAACTTTAAAACAGTGACCACAAACTGGAGGATTATCCAAGGAGACCAGGCTTGAGACTGTGATGAAATATCTTGATTTGGCCGCTCCTACAGGATCGCTGGCCAACACAAAAGGTGTCCGTCAGTAGCCTACTCGGAGAAAAGCCGTGTGGTATACAGCTGGGAGATTTTCCTCAAGTGTTGTGGAGAAGACATACTTAAATAGATTGAACGACGTTGAGTGCCTTCACTGAAATCCGTAGCTAGTCCTCAGTTCGTTCCCCTCGAAAACGGGATAGCTTCTCCCATGAATGAACAAAGGCGCTTAGGTCTTACGAATTTCATCAACAAATTACTGGGCATTGAATCAACCTCCACCCTTTAAGAAAGATGGACCAAAGAATATCTACAATGCTACTCCCCAACAGGGATCACTTTTTCAGGAGACAGAGAACACCAGCATGGTGTGACATGGCTGATCCAGGTTAGTCGAAAGACAAGCTTATCTCGACTGGCGACTTTCGGTCTGATTTCCGTAGCAGGGGGGCGATGCCACGATTTGTGCATAGCAAAACAAATCACAAGTTGCACTATGTAGATCAAACTTAAGCGTGATTTGTTTTTTGGTAATGTGCTACTCATAAGGTTGCTGAAAATCCGTCGACAGCCCACGACCGGTTTCGCCCTCGGGGGTCATCAGGTAGGCCCAGTCCCCGGATTTCCGTCAACCTTACGTTCTACTTGAAACCAACTTGCTCGAGATCAGCGAATATACACTCATTTGCAAACTTATTTGGTTTTTTGGGAGACTCATTCGGAATCCAGCTGAATCTCTCGTTTGTACTGTTCTCAGGCAACTGAATGTGCTGCACCAGGCCGCCTCATGTTTCAGTCGCTACGATATTCGAAAAACCAAATTAGTTTGTAAATGAGTGTACATTAGCTAATTGTCTGTGTTTTCTTCAAGTCTACGGACTATTTTGAGCACTGTTAATTCAAACTAAAACACGTTTGTCAGACTGGTCATCCAATCAGTGATCCAAGTCCTTAGAATATCTCATTGTGAGGATAAACATGTTCCTTTCCAAAACAAAACTCATCTAGTTGAACTGAAAAAGACCTCCAGTGGACACCCCTTATCTGACACAAGTGTTTTAAAGCTTATCAGTTTGAAGGTCCAAAGATCGACAAAAATAAATTCAACCACAGGACTTTCCACTTGCTGTTCCACGATGGTACATTTGTAAAACCTGTGCGTCTCCGTTGACACATCCCATAATCGCGCAGTTAACTATAGAATAAATCATAGTCTGTTGTGGATAGCCATACTAATCTTCTTGTTCCCGTCAAGGTCCAAATGGATCAAACAAACTCTCTTTGATCATTTTAAGAGATCCAATTTCAAACCAATCGGCAGCTAGCACTTGTCTCAGATTCTGATACAAACTTGTCATTATGACACGTTGGAGAGGTGAGGATATTACAAAAAATCTAAGCTAGTTACATGTAGTTTTGGTATACCGAACGTACATTTTCTCGGCGTACATCTCCACGAGTTACTGGGTTATGTTCGATTACAGAGGGTGCGAAAGAACCTACTTGGGAATACTAGCCTGGTTTCACGAGGCTGGTGACGATGGAGGGGATACGGATTACCGCCAAAACATCCCAAAGACCAAACAGCGAATGACTGGTGGATGTAAACTGATGTTAGAAATACCGGAAGAGTAATCTTCCTCAGCTAACGGAATTTTGCCAAAAAACAGCCAGTCACGTCCCTTTTAGAGGCGAATGTTTATGGTATACTGCGGGAAGATTATATTTTACACGGAGTCAAGTAAAAAGCAAACAATATGAAATACAAACAAATATAAACTAGAGAGAACCACCATTCAGCTCTCCCATAACACTGGATTCGATTGACCAACCTTCTTTCGAATGATCCCATTTGACCATATCCAACGGGTGACGCCTCATCGCCACGAACACTTTAACGGTAAGTCCTTTCAAAAAGAGGAGTGCTAAAGTAGATCTGCAAACAGGGCTTTGTTAGATATCCAAGTGACCAATGAATATTCAAGAATGGCACGGGAGACCGGGTAGGGTGCGTCGACATTCAACTATCATGGGGAATTTCATGCGTAGTTATTTCGATGGGGTAAATGTTTTTGACAAGTATAATAGAGTCCCAGTGTTTTGTTGGCTTATTTCAACCCTAATTTTTAGCATTATTCGGATGTGACCGAACCATTTGTGTGGATCGATTGTGTTCAACTTCCCCATGTAGATGGAGTGTAGATTACATAATCTTCCTGAATTTAATGACCGTGAAAGTGGTGTACAAGCTGTTTCGTCCATAAGAAGTTATGATTTAAGAATAAGAGAAGTTAACCCCGATGTTTTATTTTGCGTACGACACACCAAACGTCGTCAGAACTCGGGAAATTCAGGGTTGCGAATTCTCTGGTTCAAACAACCAATTTCATAAAGATTCTGAAAACTATGAGTCGATGGGAAAGTTCAGTATTTTAGTTTGCCTTTGATGTGGACATTCCAGACAGACGGATCTTCAGTAGCTGCATAGCGTGGATCGGTTCGTCAGCCAGCTGACTGCAGTATGGACTATGGATACCATACTGTTTTAGGCCTACACAGGGTATGACGCGTACCATTGATTTGGTCACGTGCCACGCGTTAGTCGACGTGTAAATGGAAGATATGACCTTCAGTACAAATGTCGATAGAAACAGATGCAGAACAACTTTACGACAGCAGAGATGTAAAGCAGTGAATGTCGGAACAGCAATTAATTTCGGTCGAGTTAGAACTGGACGATCTTCACGTAAAGGGTGCGCCATTATGCGGCAATATTAGTTTGACGTGGAGGCCAAATGTTTTTCCAGATAATTACTCTGACAGACGGCAAATAACCGGAAGTATCGTAGCATCCGAGAAAATTTGTGCTTTGCTAGTGTACACTATGCCTGATGCCTTGTGAAATGAAATGACACACGCTGGACCCAGAAAAACCTGTATGCAATTTCGGGCTGAGAACGAACTTGAAAGATCCGGAGACAACTAAAACGTCCATTTCATTCTTACCAGTGAAATATTTTTCACGTTTCATTTCCGGAAGACACATGAGACAAAGTTCTTTCAATATCTAGTTTTGAACTAAACGGCGGTACTTGTGATATGGAGTTGAGAAAGCTAACAGGTAAAATGGAATGGGTTCAACAACCTCTTCCACATTTCGGTCGAATTGCAAGGGCATTGTAGCAACTACAGTGCCAATTGAAAAGGACATCTATCCAATTATGGACTACTCAATGGCGTCTTTCCAGAGTACAGGGTGGCCGGTGTAATTCGGTTGTAGGTTCTTCTCCTAAGACTCGTTAATTGTATTTCCTGTGCCACAGCTGACTGCCGAATGCAAACTAACCTACACAAAAGATAGAAACTTGGAAAAAAAATACGCAGCTGTTTTGCTTCAAGAACTTCTTGTTAGAACTTCAGAGTGTCTTTGTAATTTTGAAAAACAGTTTGGCTGCAAGAGCTCCTCTATATGTGGTTTATAAACCAGTTGCCAATGATATTGTCTTCGAAATGAAAGTTGTGCACAGTCATGCTTATTTGGAGATTATCAGTAGTATGCAGCCCATAACACTACAAGAAATCTTAAACCTCCAACTTCTTGGCCAGGTGTTTGAACAACTAACCGGTCCACGAGCAACTGACCAGCCTGCTCTCGGACAGGATGGGTGAAACTAGCACCTAAGAAGTCGTCACTCGAGGAGCCAGTCGACACCACTTCCTGTAGTTTCTGTGACTGGAGCATGAATGGCATTGCATCCTGGTTAAGTGCGAGCTAATCATGCTGCTTTTCAGCCGCTCGTACCCGAACCGTTGGGTGTTTAAACTATTGACTAGGAGGTCGAGACCGTCTACTGAAGTTCCATCGGATACGCACCGTTGTTCTGTATTCCTCAGCTTTTCGGCTTCACTTACAAGATGAAATCTTGATCAAACCTATCAAATCCCCTCGCACGGCCAAAAGTCATACATTGTTTTCGAGATAATCTCCATCAGTGTTCTGGTGTTCAATCAAATGTGATGACTGGTGGGAGTTACTTTCAATAATCGGAACGTACAGCATTCATTCGCACTAATAACAGGCTGGTAGAGTATCGATTGTGGAGAGAAGAGGCAGAGTTCAAGTCTAGGATCGCTGCACTTTATATATCAGCAAGCTATGTGCACTTAAGTTTGACCGAGTGAAACGAATCAGTGGGACAGCACTGACAACCAAATGCTGAGATTATTCCGAAAGGTTCATTTAGGCCAACTGGGTGACCTGCGGTCACCGGATATTCGATTATCTATGTGATGATCTACCAGTTCCCTGATGGCTATAAAGTTTGGTTTTGTGTCATGGCTCCTTTTAGATATTTTGGTAAGTTCTTTACGACAACCCAGGAATCAGTCGTGGATAATGTTAGCGTGTTCGTAAGCCTGAACAATATATAATGTGAATTTTTCGTCCCGCCTTAAATGTGTTATNAAAGATCGTGAAAAATCGCATCACGTACTTGCATTCCTGCTCTGGCGCACTTTGCTACGAACGATGTTTTCAAACGTTATCTGAAACAAATCACATGGTATTGTCCAAAGAAAATTTCTCTATGTGATGACAGTCCAGCATACTGTGGATTTGGCGTTTGACCTATTCTTTTGTGTCCCGATTAGGCACACATAAGTTTGTTGATTCTACTTTTGGATTGTGAGGTCACGTTTTTGTATGGGCGCATATTTTCTGTAGCTGATGAATCGATCCAATGGACCATCAAGTGGCTCGTTTTTGGATAAATCTCACACACTATG